TTTTTAAGATTTATTTATTTATTTATTTATTTGAGAGAGAGAACGTGCGTGCATGCGCAGGGGAGGAGCAAAGGGAAAGGGACAAGCAGACTCCACATGGAGCCTGACTCGGGGCTTGACCCCATGACCCTGAGACCACAACCCAAGCTGAAACCAAGAACCAGATGCCCAACTGACTGAGCCATCCAGGTGCCCCCCAAAGTTATTTTTAAATGTTTTATTCTAATTATAAAAATGTTATCTAGGGGTGCCTGGGTGGCTCAGTCATTAAGTATCTGCCTTTGGCTCTGGTCATGATCCCAGGGTCCTGGGATCGAGCCCTGCATTGGGCTCCCTGCTCAGCTGGAAGCCTGCTTCTCCCTCTCCTACTCCCCCTGCTTGTGTTCCCTCTCTCGCTGTCTCTCTCTGTCAAATAAATAAATAAAATCTTAAAAAAAAAAGTTATCTAAAGAAAATTTGAAAAATAGGGAAAAATGTAAACAGTAAAACAAATTGTCTACAATTCTACCATTTTAGAATAAATTGTGACATTTTATTGTAGTCTAATCATAAATTTTCATGTATCTAATTATTTACATACAAAAATTTCTAAAAATAAAACTACTGGATAAAATAATGGTAACTTTTTAAGGTTATTACAGGTCTGAGCTTTTTCTCTTAACGATTCATAAGAGCTTTTTTATAGACAGTTGGGGGTGAGCCTTAAAAGGCTTTATAAACACTAATAAGATACTGTAGTAGAGGGGCGCCTGGGTGGCTCAGTCGGTTAAGTGTCTGCCTTTTGCTCAGGTCGTGATCCCAGGGTCTTGGGATTGAGCCCCATGTCAGGCTCCCTGCTCAGCAGGGCGTCTGCTTCTCCCTTTCCCTCTGATCCTCCTCCCCGTCTCTCTGTGCTCTCTCTCAAATAAATAAAATCTTAAAAAAAAAAGGTTGCTGTAGTACATTACACTGCATCATAAATATTTTTTCCCTTCTGTTTTCTTTTCTTTTTTAAAAAGATCTTATTTATTTGACAGAGAGAGACAAAGCGAGAGAGGGAACACAAGCAGGGGGAGTGGGAGAGGGAGAAGCAGGCTTCCCGCTGAGCCACCCAGGCACCCCTCCCTTCTGTTTTCTGCCTTTATATTTATGGTGTATTTGTTCTTTCTTTTTATAAACAGAAGTTTTTAAGTTTAAAGTATTTTTTATTGTTCCATTTGGCTTCTATTTTACTTAATATGGTATTCAAGCACTTTTTTTAAAAAAATGTATTTACTTAAGAGAGAGAGAGAAGGAACACAGAGGTAGAGGGAGAAGCAAGCTCCCCGCTGAGCAGGGAGCCCGACATGGGGCTCAATCCTAGGACCCTGGGATCATGACCCGAGCTGAAGGCAGACACTTAACCGACTGAGCCACCCAGGTGCCCCCAAGCACTTTTTCATATAGCTATAGTTTTCATACTTATCATTTCATGGGTCACATAATATTCTATCACGTGTCTATATTACAATTTCCTAAAACATTTTTCTACTAGTGCACATTCATTTAATATAAAATGCTTCCCCTAATATTTTTTTTTTTTTTTTAAGATTTATTTATTTATTTGAGAGAGCGAGAAAGTACATGAGAGGGGGGAGAGTTAGAGGGAGAAGCAGGCTCCTCGCCGAGCAGGGAGCCCGATGTGGGACTCGATCCAGGGACTCCAGGATCATGACCTGAGCCGAAGGCAGTCGCTCAACCAACTGAGCCACCCAGGCGCCCCCCCTAATATTTTTTAAAAGGATTATAAATCAAGTGGCCCTATGGTCCTACTTAAGCCATCAAAGAAACTAAATCCTCTGGGTGGCTATAAAGCTCCTTTCACACTTTATGGATAGATGGGAAAAATCAACTGAAAAAATAATGACAGAAATACTAATATGATAATTCGAGAATCTCCCTTTGGATTATTCTAAAATAGAAAATCCTTGGGGCGCCTGGGTGGCTCAGTCAGTTAAGTGTCCGACTCTTGATTTCGGCTCAAGTCATGATCTCAGGGTTTTAAGATTAAGCCCCATGTCAGGTTCTGTAGTGGGCATGGAGCCTACTTAAGACTCTCTCTCTCTCCCTCTCCCTCTGCCCCTCCCCCTCACCTTTCTCTCTAAAAAATAAATAAAATAAAATAAAATAGAAAATCCTTACTCAATCTTGACTTTAAAGAATACATGTCTTTCAGTAAAACTCTCCCTGTTTTTAATCTAAGGCCAAACAACCTATCTCGAGTCTTTAAAAAAAAAAACAAAAACAAACGGACTTGTATTAAAAAAAAAGTCAGAGGGATAACAAAGAAGAACAATTACCTTGCTCCAATGGATACAGTAATGACATTGTCCAGGTTGAGTTTGCACCACTGCTCAACATCATATGCAAAAGTTGCACTGAACATAGCTCTTCTGACCTTAGGAGATGTGCAGGCCAGGAAAATGGAAGCCAGCTGGTCTCTGAACCCAGTTTTGCCATCTTCAAACAGTTTGTCTGATTCATCTACTACCAGCCACTCAACACTGAGAAATAACAAAACATCTTGTGGGTACTGAACTGGATGGAAGATCAAGACACTTCACTAAACTGTGGGGACACATGAACCAGTCAAACCATCATGGTACTTCTCAGATCCACACATCATACCAGAAAAAGGTAAAAGAAAACTCAGCAGGAAAAAAATAAAAACAAGATAAACATTAAGCAATGTCCTATTCCTTTAACCTCAAAGAGATGAGGTTCCATTAGCAACAACAGAGCTTCACATAAACCTTATAAACTCCATCACCATTGCTGAAAGAAGTGAAAACATCTAGGGGAATTCTATACTAACTGCTTATCAGAATCTGTAACTTTCTTCCAGACCAGACAGTTACTTTCCTACGAGTCTAATGAAAACTATTATTCTCAGCACCAACACTGACTGAAAGCTGGCAGAAAGCAAGCTCCAACGGGCCATAAGACAAGCAGTCAAGGACAAAATAGAATCAACTAAATGAAAATACACACAGAAGAGATTAAAATATTATCTGTACCTTGTTAAATCTATTCCTGGAGGATCTTGCTTTAATAAATAGATTAGTCGATTTGGAGTAGTCACAAGAATATCTATAGGAAAAACAAATGATACAAATTGCAAAAGCAAGATTCATCTCTCTTAAACAAGGGAATTAAGCCTCCTGAATTTCAGTGAAGAACCTGAAGAGGGGAGAGGAGGGGGAGGTTATACTTGCTATCTTACTACACCAACCCCACAAAAGTTCTTTCTTATTTGTAAGCTAATATATGTATTTTTTAATCCATGATAGCACAAACTACTATATGCTTACTTTTCCTTTTATTATGTTTGATCTGCCTTCTCAACTTCTAAGAGGCAAGAACACTATAAGCCAACAGTGTCATTTTCAAATATTTAGTTTTGTTTTTTGGGAAAATCCTTTCTTTAAATGAAATTTTACTCAGAAGCTCAAAATTAAAGACAGGTTAAAGCTGATTTTCTGACTGATATAAGGGTAGGGATGTAAGCCATTCTTATCTGCAGAGTATTTCCATGGCAGATTAAAAATCAACAGTATAAAGCAGGGTTTCTCAGCCTTAGCAGTACTGTCATTTTGGTTCAGATAACATTTTGTTGTAGGGGACTGTCTTGTGCATTGTGGGATGCTGTTACCTCTACCTACCATAGGTTAGTAGCACTCCAGTTTTGACAACTTAAAATGTCTCCAGATATTGCCAAATGTCCCTGGGGTGGAAGGTGAGGTGGGGGGCAAAACTGCCTCTGGATGAGAATCACTGGTATATATTTATATAAGTACCGAGTGGGAGTGGAGAAATCTCTTTCAGTTTCTCTAAAAACCAAACTAATCGTGTGTATGACTACACTTTTAAGAACTCTTAGGTGGCAGTTAAGGATATTTGTAATTTGCAAATCCCTTATATGCTCTATATCTCAAGCATGAGTCCCTTACCAAACTTCTTAGATGATTTAGGTCCAAATTTCTTGGCTGCCACTGCCGCTTTGTGGATCATGTGTATCCTGAATCCTGTTCCCTCCGAGATTTTTACTAACTCTCTGTGAATCTAAAATGGCAAATGACAAAAATATTAGCTGCTAAGATACTTAGATAAGATGTATAGTCTTGTTTACATTATTAAAATAAACCTATTACCAGCCCATGAATAACTGAAATTAAACCCATAAAAATATGTGCATTAACCTGGAATCTCAGCATTTTGCAAACTGCTACATACTGTTTTTGGAATACAGTGCTATTAGAAAACTATCTCATGCTTGGCATATATTTTCTATTAAGCACCTTGGAAGCGTGGAGCAGGTCACTGTGTAGTTTTTCTTTCTCAAAAACTGAGATGAGGTTTAATTTTTCTAGGTGAAAAAATACATTTTAGAGAGGGACTATATATTCCAGTAGCCTCAGTAGCCTCACCTTAAAAGATCTTAGAGCATTTGCCAAAGAAACATCATTAATGTTTAAATCATTATTTTAGAAAATTATAAAAAGATTCAAAAAAACTTGCCCATGTGTAGTAAGTTACAGAACAGAGTAAGATACAGTACAGAATATTTGCCTATGCCAAAAGACATGGGCCTTACTCTTTTTGAGACCATTTTACTACCCTCAAATAAGAAATGACTAAAGCAAACACCAAATACATCCTCTTTCGAAGCTACAAGTCATACCTGGTTGGCAAGTTCTCGTGTTGGTGATATAATCAGAGCTCTGAAGCCTTTATTTGTGGGTTGTTTTAGTTGCATCAAAATGGGAATGCTAAAAGCCAAAGTCTTTCCAGATCCAGTAGGAGCAGAAGCCAGAAGTTCTCGACCCTAAAAACAAGGTATATTAAGTATAAGGTAAGTACATAAACTTTTCAGAGCCTGGTCAAGTAATACAACCAGCCATAGAAATAACAAAATAATCATAATGAATGTAATCATTCATCTTCCCACCGCTTGTCTAACTTTTCCCATATTTGCTTTTCTAACATCATCCACCCTTGCCACCAGTGCCCCAAAGGAGTTTCTGACCATTGCCACCAAATACCATTTGACTTGGGTAAAGAATATGGATAACTAAAATCCAAAGATAATTCAAAACCTCAAGTATTTCCATTATTTCCATTTTTCTTTCCCATCAAATTCTCTTATCAAAGCAAAATTATAAAACCAACTTTTCCCCCTGATATCTGTACTGCTCAATCCCTAGGGATGGTTTTAATAAGTAACAGAATGGCTAAAGATAAGAAATAAAAAGTGGCAATAACTTGAGTGACAGTAATTTACAGGTGACAGTCTTCAAAACGTCACTATGATTTTTAGAGCTTTAAGCTGAAGTTGTAACAGAAACAATCTTAGATGAAAATCAGAAGCAAATTTACTATAATGTGAGACAACAATATCATTCAAATGTATTCTCACTTCAGTTCCCAAAGAAAACAAAAAGGACTAGTACGGATGAAAAGGTAACTCCTATTCTTTGGCTTCATGGGGGAAAAAGTCAGCTCTCATAGGGACAAAAAAAAAACCTCAGAAAAATTTAATTTCCGAAACTCTAAGTTAACCCATGCCTTTATCAACAGGAGATAAACAAATTGTGGTACTTTCAAACAACAGAATACTACTCACTGACAAATTATAAATGCAATGTGAATGAATCTCAAAAACAATATACAGCATGAGAGAAACCACAAATTAAAAAATAAATAATGGATGATACCACTTATATGACATTCTATAGAAAAGGCAAAACTAATACATGGCAATAAACATCGGAACAGCAGTTCCCTGGGCAGGAGTGAGGTGTGGACTGAATGGAAATGGCACAACAGAATTTTCTGGGGTGACAGAAATGTAACACGTCTCTGCTGGGGGGGATAGTTATACAGTGTATGCATTGTCGAAATTCATTGAACTATGAACTTACAATCTATGCATTTTATTGTATATAAGGTATACTTCAGTAACAAAAAGTACTGGGGAAAAAGAAGTCAGGCTATGTACAAGAATTCGCTATTTCTGAAATACCTAGGAATAATAAACTAAATCATGGATGGATAAACAGAACATAGCCCTTATCCTCAGAGGGTTTACACTCTAGTAAAATGTAAAAGGTATACACAAGTAGTATAACTATATAATAAGGTAAAGTTTAAGATAAATGTTACCAAAAAAAAAAGACACTAAATACCTTGGAGAACTGGTGGTTGAGGGAAGAGTGTTGGTAAGAGAAAAAGATCACATCTAATTGTAGTGATATGGAGGCCCAGGCATTTGAGATGGACCTTAAAAGCAAAGGAAGGATTTCAACAGGGAGAGACAAGGTAGAGAGGAAGACTTCAAAAACAGGGAAGAGAATGACCTAAGACACAGAGGAAGGAACGTTAGAGGCATTCCAATACTCACATGCAGCATAACTGGAATGGCTTGCATTTGGATTGGTGTAGGTATCTGGAAGCCTGCGTCTAGAATGTTCTGAAGCAGTCGAGAATTGATTTTATATTCCTGGTCAAGTTGCTGAAATGTAGCAATTGGGTCAGGAAGATCAGTTCCTTGGATATGAATTTTGTGTTTATTCCGGAAGAAGTTTATCTGAAAAGTGAAATAAAGGGGTCACAGACTGTCACATACATTGCAAGATGTTGTAAAGCAACAGTAACGGTTTCTAGGATAAGCTTTAATAACATGTGAAACTTTCTGGTTAAATTCCAAGCCCTAAAAGATAACAGATATTAGATATACTTCATGCCCTTTCACAGACAGAAGACCTTCGTAACCATAAAACCTATCTATCCATTTTCTTGTATTAATGTGTCAGTGGCATGAGTAATGGTTATTTATATTAATGTGCCACAATGATAATCGTAACTTATAATTTTATATAAGCTTCTAGAAGGCAGACATTGAATCCATCTAGTTTTTTCTTTATATGACAGCACACAAATGCCAATGCTTTTTGATGATTTACTCTAAACTCTATTAAAATTGAGGGCCAAAAGCAGAGTCAAGTGGTGTTGATTCGGTTTGTTTTCCCATTCTGTGAGAATGACAGCCAAATGCTGGATTCAGGGTTACTGAAGTGAGCTGAACAATACTCTCCATCTGCAACATAGCAGGTGTGCAGCAGACATGACAATGATGTATTTGTTATTTGTTCTGTATTCTACTCCACCCCAAGGTATAAAATAGGTTTCTTAATTCTAACTCTTGGGGCACCTGTGTGGCTCAGTCCATTAAGCATCCGCCTTTGGCTTAGGTCATGATCTCAGGGTCCTGGGATGGAGCCCAGAGTCGGGCTTCCTGATCAATGGGGAGTCTGCTTCTCCCTCTCCCTCTCCACCCTGCTCGTGCTCTCTCTCAAATAAATAAATAAAATCTTAAAAAATAATAATAATAATTCTAACTCTCAAATCTCTATCAGAGGAAATCTTTCTAAACCAGTGAGTGTTGCGGGTCATGATCCCAGGATCCTGGGATGGAGCCCCGAGTTGGGCTCCCTGCTTGGCAAGGAGCCTGCTTCTCCCTCTCTCTTTGCTGCTGCTCCCCCTGCTTGTGCTCTCTCTGTCAAATAAATAAAATCTTAAAAGAAAAAAAAATAAACCAGTGAGCTTAACAAAGAGGAGAAAGGGAACAAATTTTATGTTTATCAAAGGGGATATGAATTTTAAAAATTTCACTCCAAATGTGAATTTAGACAGGTCAAAAATTCACAGTATATAGTATATGAGAATATGAGAAGAAACACACACACACACACACACACACACAAATCTTTTGACCTGTTCAAGTTTCAAGATACTTTCAAGAATTTTAAACTTTAGGGGTGCCTGGGTGGCTCAGCTGGTTAAGCGTCTGCCTTTGGGTCAGGTCATGATCCTAGGGTCCTAGGATCAAGCCCCTGCTCAGCAGGGGAGTCTGCTTCTTTCTCTCTCTCTCGCTCACTCTCTCAAATAAATAAATAAATAATCTTTAAGGGGGGGGAATTTTAAACTTTAAAATTTTCAGCCACAGCACGAATACCTACTTTAAGTTTCCATTAGAGTGAAATCTAAACTAATATAATTAATCTTCTATCTTCATAAAACTATATTCACTTTTACCAAGAGAATAACCCAAGGACAAGGAAAAATTCACTAGGTCAGAAAAGAAACTGGGGCTAAGACATTTTTCTAACCTTTTCTTTTCTGAGATTCTCCAACTTTCCTGAAGTTAGTTTATTTTCTCTTTTAATTTTTTTATCTTCAATCTTCGCTTCCACAGATGATATCCACTGTATAGTAGAACCTTCTTCTTGAGAAGTAATTTCTAAAATATATATTAAAAAATCAAAAGATTTTTAAGTGCAACATTCTTGGGAGTAGCAAACAGGCCACAGCATCACGTTAAACAAAAGTAAAGTACTAGCTAATACAACAGAGAAAAGAAAGTAATAGGAGGAATAACAACTGGAAAAAGGAGAGGCAAGTTCTCTGTCAGTAAAATCAGAGCTCTGAAGCTCATTCTCTTCTTTTCATTAGTTATTTCAGCTGTGTGATATGTAGATGACTGTATACTTGAAAACAGTAACAGATTAAATTGAAAATACTTAAATAAGAGATTTCAATAAGGTAGCCAGCTCTTCTATATTCAACCAGTTAGAAAATAAATGATGAAAGAATAGATTTCACTTTTAATAGTGATGAACATAGCACAGTACTTATGGACTAGTCACTGATATAAAGATAGTAATTCTCACTAATCTATAACTAAAATTAGTTCAATGGGAAGTCATGGCAGGATTGTTTTGGAAACCAGACTAGCTGACTTTAAAAGTTCATGTGGAGGGGCGCCTGGGTGGCTCAGTTGGTTGAGCATCCAACTCTTGGTTTCAGCTCAGGTCATATCATGGTTGTGGATTGACACCTGAGTCAGGCTCTGCGCTCAGTACGGAGTCTGCTTCGGGTTCTTTCTCCCTCTCCCTCTGCCCCTCCTCACTCACACCTCCTCTCTCTCTCTCAAATGAAAAAAATAAAATCTTCAAAAAATAAAATAAAAATAAAGTTCTTTCACTTCACTGAGGTACCACTGATATACAATAAATTGCATTTATTTAAAGTATACAATTTGAGGAATTTTGACATATGTATACATCTGTTAAATCATCATTACATTTAAGTTTATTTCCATCACCACCCAAAATCTCCTTGTGGCCCCTTGTAATGCACTGCTCCATCCCTAAGCAACCACCTGTCTGCTTTCTGTCACTGTAGATCAATTTGCTTTTTCTGGAATTTTATATAAATGGAATCATGTAGTATGTACTAAATTTAGTCTGGCTTCTTTCACTCAGAATAGTTATTCTGAGATTCATCCACGTTGGAGCATGTATCAATAGTTAACTTTTTATTTAAAGGTAGTATTCCACTTTATGGATATATAAATTGTTTATCCTTCACCTGTTGAAGGACATTTGGGTCATTTCCAGTTTTTGGCTACTGAAAATAAAAGCATAGTGCTATGAACACCTGGTAGAAGTCTTTGTGAGGACACAGATTTTTCCTTTCTCTTAGGTAAATTCTTGGAATGGAATAGGTGGGTCACATGGTAGGTGTATGTCTAACTTTTTAAAAAAGTCCTTTGTCAATTTCTACCCTAAAAGCCTACTGGAATTTTAACTGAGTTTGTTTTGCATTGATTCTATAGATCACCTCAGGGAGAAAATATTTAGTTGTCCAATCAAAACATGGTATGCCACATTACTCTGTACTATGCCACATATGTGCTACATTATGGTACATATCTTTGTGTTTCTGGTTGCCCAACAGCTGAATCCTTTTCCCAAGTTTGTGGCAGGTCTTTTTTTTTTTTTTTTTTAACTACTCTTGGTGGAAGTCTTTATCGAACTTCCTTGCCGTCAGGGAAGTAAAATGTGTAAAACTGTAACAGCAAAAGTGTGGAACCGAAGTCAATGTCCCTGACACGTGGACTTGTCAAGTCAATTACGGAACATCCTTATAATGTGTAATGGCATACTATACTATGATTCAATGAACAAAGCAGTGGACTTCCTACTGATACAACGTTTCTGGTGGACAATTTCAAGATACCTAAACTTAAAATAAACCTATTGGTTAACTCTGAAATTCCATTTCTAAGAATTTATCAGATATACCCACATACACACAATGATAAGTGGGATGGCATTTATTGCAACACTGTAATAGCAAAAGTGAGGAAACAAACTAAATGTCCGTCACAAACGAACTTGTTAAATCAATTACAGAATGTATAACGGGATATATTTTGTGTTAAAATGAAAAAGGCAGGGCACTTCCTACTGATTCCAAACAATCTCCAAAATATATCCATACGTACATATATATATATATATATATTTTTTTTTTTTTAAGTGGAGGAGGAGAGAAGGTTCAGAATAGAACAACAGATACAGTATGCTATTGTTCAGGTTTTTAAAGGGAGGTATAAATATAGTGAATAGATATCTTTATAAAAATACATAAGAAAATGATTAACAGCAGTTGCCTCTGGAGAAATAGGGGACTAGAAATAGTGGGAAGAAAATTTGCTTTTCACCACTGTATAACTTTTAAAAACCAGGTCTAATGGGGCGCCTGGGTGGCTCAGTCGTTAAGCGTCTGCCTTTCACTTGGGTCGTGATCCCAGGGTCCTGGGATCGAGCCCCGCGTCAGGCTCCCTGCTCGGCGGGAAGCCTGCTTCTCCCTCTCCCACTCCCCCTGCTTGTGTTCTTGTTCTCACTGTGTCAAATAAATAAATAAAATCTTTAAAAAAATAAAAATAAATAAATAAAATAAAAACCAGGTGTAAGTATTTACTTTACTGAAAAAGGTAAATGGCTAGGAAACTTAATAGATATAACCAAGAAGAAGATCATATATCCCTAATGTACAGAAAAAAAAAAACCCTGTGAAAAATAGGCAAAGAGTAAGAACCGAAAATTCACAAATGCTGAGATGTAAATATCCACTAAAGCATATGAAAACATGCTCAACCTCACCAGTTATCAAGAAAATATATACAGAAATTAGTTTCATTCATTAGGTTGACAAAGAATTTAAGACCAATACTATCCAGCATTGACATAGGTGTGGGAAGTCATTTTTCATTATCTATTCAAAGAAAGAAGTGTGCATACCCTTTCAGCCAGTGAGTCCACTTTGGGGATGGTAATTACAGAAATAACAGAACCTGTACAAAAGGATATATACACAAGTATTTTTATTGTAGCAATATTTGTAATGGCAAATACCTGGAAACAACCTGAATGCCATTAACTAATGAATGACAGTATACTGATTTGTAACCTTAAGCCTGTATTATTTTTGTAACTGGAAAAAAAAAAAGAGGAAAAAAAAGAAACTAAGAACTAACCTGACATCATCATTTTCCTCTTTTTCTTGCTCTGTTCCCTCTTCTTTTCAGTTAGGCTCTCTTCTTTTTTCTCTTCATCTTTAAGCTCCTGATGAGTTCGTGATGCTCCACACTCACCTGGGACAGACTTCTTGTTTCCAAAGAAGTCCAGTCCGTGCAGCACCTCTGAAGAATCAAAGTCATGTTTCCTTTTTCCTACCTAAAACCCAAAAAATTTAAAATGCAATCTACTGACTGACTGCTTTCACCCAAGCAGTACTGGCAGTAAGGGCGTGGGTCTAATAACTCCCCACCTTTTTTTAATCCTTTCACCAAGTATCTGTTGAGCTGGCAAGTGTGTTTGAGCAAATGGAATACAAGATGACTTTTCTGACCTTTTAACTGTAGTAATAATCATAACAGTAATTACCATTTATATGCTCATCAGCATAACACCTATATGCTGTCAGGCAGACTTCTAAGCATGCTTATATATATTAAATTACTTCATCCTTCAACAATGCTAAGGGGTAAATAGCGATATTACAGATGAAAAAAAATCAAGGCATTAGGATGTCAAATAACTTGAGGTCTCAAAAGTTGTGACAGATCCAGTATTTGGACCCAAATAATCCGGCTCCAGAGTTCAAACTCAACAACTACACCTACCGCCAGAGAAAGGAGAAATACACGTGTTGCTCAATGTCAAGGCTGATAATGAAGATTTTCCATAACTGGGTCCCAACTAACTTCTCCCGATTTACCATTCACCCACTACTTAACTATGTAAGAGTCCCCATTTCTAAGTCGCTCTTCTCACTGGTTACTTAACACGTCATGAGGTTACAGGAATAAAAAGACTCATGTCCACTAAAGGTGTATGCATGCCAAGCCAACCTGGGTAGACTAGAGTGAAAGAATCTGTTCTCTTCATTCTGGGTTCATTCTGTTTTCGAAATTCCTTTCTACCAGTTTCGGAGAAAAAGCTACTTTTGAAAGGATTCTAACTGTGCTTTGAATAAACTAAAAAGCAGGGAGGGAGAAGCGTTTCTGTGCTAGGCCCACCGAAGTCTACAAAAGAATGGTAAGAGTTCACTCCGATGGCAGCACTTGACCAGGTAGGTCTGAGCACGAGCCCAACGCAAAGAGGGAACATGCCCCACGACCAGGCCGCGGTCTCCCAGCGCCGGCTCTCCCAGCAGCCAGATCATTCTCGGGCCCCTGCGCTCTCAGTTATTGGGGCTTCTGTTTTCCTGCGTACAGTACCTGGAATCGCGCCGCGTCCGCAGAAAAACGTCTCACGTCGAATTTGGCCCCCACGCCAAGCCGGCGAAAGAGATCGTGAGCATCCATTTTTACCCAGAAAGCACCGCGGTCCCAGGACGCCTGCGCAGAGAACTTCCTCCCCCAGAAGGTCTGGGGCTGGGCCGTGGGGGGAAGTGGTTCTGGGGGGCGGAGCCTGGCGGCTGCGAGAAACTAAACCGTTTTACCTCCTATAGCCCGACATTATCTGTTCTTTTCAAAAATGTTTATCAAGATCCTCTTATGCCGGGCACTGTTCTAGACTTTTATGGGTACTTTGGTGAACAACACCTTAAGATTCCTCACCTCAGGAAACTTACATTTTAGTGGAGACAAAGATATTGTTAAATAAGCAAGATAATTTCCGAAAGTGAAAAGTGCTATAAAACAAGTAACGGTGTAATTGATAGAGAAAGGGACGGGAAGCCACTTTTAGGTAGCTTAGTCAGGTTCATTCTGGAGAAGTGATATTTTAGCTAAAAGAAGGCAGCCCTTCCCAGATCTGGGAAATGCATTCCACATAGAGGAAACACGTGTCTGAAGAAGGGGAAAGGTTTGGAACAGTGAGGAAATAGAAGGCCCAGGTGACTGGAACCAAGTTGTAATGAGGAAGTGTGGTACAGATAAGGCTGAAGGGGCAAATAGAAACCAGATCTCATAGAATCTTATAACAGAGTCATGGTGAGGAATTTGGATTTTAATCTAAGCTCAGTGTGAAGGTATTAAAATTTTTTTGTACTGAGAGAACAACATGATTTAGCATATCACTTTATATTTATTTTCTTCATTGTAATGTACAAAATTATTCACTTATGCATCGCCTCTCTCTGTTCTAGAATGAAAGTCCATGAGCATGGGGATCTAATTTGCTTTACTGCTGTATTCCCAGTTTCTGTGCACTCTTCAATAAGTATTTGGTGACTGAATAAGTGAATGTTTCATAAAAGATTACTCTGGCAATTTGGAGAATGAATCCTAGAAAGGCTAAGAGTGGACAGAGGGAGGCTAGTCAAAGTAGAAATGATGATGATGGCTTGGATTAGGGTGGGTCTCTGTGCTGATGGAAATGAATGGATAGATTTGGGATATATTTTGGAGGTAGAGCTAAATGTACCAGATTGATTTTATGTGGAAGTGAGGGAAAGGGAGGAATCACAAAGACCACTCCTAGATTTTTTGCTTGAAACCCTGGGTAGATGGTATGCCATTTACTGAGCCAGGAACCATTATGGAAGAACAGCTTTTTGGTGAGGATGAGATACAGGAGTGGTGGTGGCGGCGAGGAATCAACTGCTATGTTTTGGACATGTGAAGATGCCTAGTTGACTTTAAATGGAGAAGTCTAAGGAGGTAGTTGGTTCCATAAGTCTGAATCTCAGGGAAAAAGGTCAAGGCTGGAGAAATAAATTTAGGAGCCATCAAAATATAAATGGTACAATGGAATACTATCTAAGAAGCATTTAATTTGTTAAAGTTGAGTTATACATATTCAACCAAAGAGTCTAAGAAATACTTTAAATAGTGGGGTAATTCCTTTACATTCAAGGAAAGCAAGTGTGGAGTAAGCACGAGATGGGTGATGTAAATCTGTTGTATTCTCAGATGGATTCAGCCCCTGATACCCTCTCATAATGGGAGAATCTTGCTGTTCCAGTTGTATCCACTCTTTAAAAATAAGTATTTTTCATGAAATACAGCCCCTAAGTGAAAGCCCCAAGTCCTTCATCTGTTGCTTCATAAAAACAACTTATCTCAACATGGGAGGAAAAGAATTGACTTAAGAGCTTATTAATAAATGAAGTGTTCAGCACATAAATATGGCCACAACCATGTATAAAATCAACATGTATGAAATCACAACTACCAGACTTTATAGGTGATTTAAGGAATTTCTGAGAATAATTCTACATCATGAGGTTTCTTCTCTTTATGAGCTGATTTCAGAACCCAATCCTTATGTAAGTGGTGGAAAACCCATATCTAAAAGCATGATCATGTGGAGGTGCCTGGGTGGCTCAGTCAGTTAAAAGCATGATCATGTGGCCAACAGAAACATGAGAAGATGCTCAACATCACTATCAGGGAAATGCAAATCCAAACTACAATGAGATATCACCTCATACCTGTCAGAAAGGCTAGAATCTAAAACATAAGAAACAACAAGTGTTGGTGAGGATGTGGAGGAAAAGGAACCCTGTTGTCTATAAAACAAATTTATACACCTATAAAACAAAAGTTTGAGAAGCAACCAGCGACAGAAGACAAGGAATATGGAGTCACCAAAGCCAGAAGAAACTTTCAGGAAGAATGTAGTGATAAGCTGTTTTAAAGGCTGTTGAGAGGCTGAGGAGGTCACTAGTGACCCTGATAATATCAGTTTTGGTGGCATGGTGCATGGAGATGGTTGATTTGATAAAGGTGGAAGTTGGAGACTGTGATGAAGCCAATGCTTTGCAAAGGTTTAGCTGAGAAGGAAAGCAGAGAAGAAGGGTGATAACTAGAGGCAGATGAAAGTTCAAAAGAGGTTTTTCCTTTTTGGTTTTGATGGTTTTAAAGATAGGTGCTAGGGGATGTTTGTAAAGTGTAAGGAATGATCCACTGAAAAGATGGAGATCAATAATGCAACGGAGAGTGGAGACTGGTGGCCTGGGGGTGGGATGAGATTTTGTCAGGGAGCATTGGAGGGTTGGGAATGGAAGAAATGATATGAAATAATATCCTCTAGAGTAGGAAAATGAACTTAGTAGGAAAATGCATAACTGCTGAGCAGTGAATGCCCATTTGAGTTGGAGACAGTGAATTAAAAAAGAAACCAATCAGCATGAGTCAGCTGCTTAGATAAAGGTGTGAAGACATTGTAGTGTTGAACTTAGCCAGGGTTAAAGTTTTTTCAGGTAAATATGATAGAGGGTTATGGCAGAATTCTTTGTGCCTCTTTCCCCCCGATAAAAAAAAGCCCCTAGAATTGGTGGTTCAACAGAGGTTTAGCATCCTGAGACCTAAGAAGGAAGACCTAGGGATGGCTCTCCTTATTAAGAATAATGCTCTGGGGGCACCTGGGTGGCACAGTTGGTTAAGCCTCTGACTCTTGGTTTCTGCTCAGGTCATGATCTAGGGTCGTAAGATCAAGCCCAATGTTGGGCTCTGTACTCAGCAGAGTCTGCTTAAGACTCTGTCTCCCTCTGCCCCTCCCCCATTCTCTCTCTCAAATAAATAAATAAATAAATCTTTTTTTTAAGATTTTATTTATTAAGGAAAGAGAGAGAAAGCACAAGCAGGGGGAGTGGCAGGCAGAGGGAGAAGCAGGCTTCCCACTGAGCAGAGCCCGATGTGGGCCTCGATCCCAGGACCCTGGGATCATGGCCCGAGCCAAAGGCAGACGCTTAACCGACTGAGCCACCCAGGTGTCCCAATAAATAAATCTTTTAAAAAAAGAATAATATTCTGGATTATATTAATAATCCATCATGCCTCTCTTCTTTCAGAGTAATGAATTGTATTGAATGTTGAATATGTGCTATATACTTTACTTTCATAAGCATATAGTTGGTGTTAAACAAGTCTAAATGTAAATACCTCCCAGCCTCTCCACCTAATAGCTGTGACCTATTCAAATTAACCTGTCTAGAACTCATTTCCTCATCTGTAAAATGAGGATCCTGAGACTTACTCCAGGATTCTTCTGAGAATTAAGCTAGGCTCATAGGCAATGGTGTAGAGTGGAAAGAGCATGAGTGTGGAGTATCAGAAAGACTTATGGGTGAATCCAGTTGTATCTACCTAATGTGATAATCTTAGACAAGTTATTTCACTAGTCTGTGCCTCAATTTCCTCATTGGTAAAATAGGGATTATAGGATTATAATATCTACCTTGAAGGTTAGGAATAATACGATTGTTCACCACACAGGGCTCAAAATGGTAGAAGTAGGTCAGGATACCGTATATATACATTTGCTAATATATAGAAATTATAGTTATTGAATAAAGCATTTGGAATAAAATCTCATAAAAGTAGTGCTTAATAAATATTAGTTCTTTTCTATCTTTCAGCCCATTCTCCTAGTTGAGTAGTTCTTGACCCTCACTGCACATTAGACTCCTCCGAGGAACTTAAAAAACAAAAAAGATGGGGCACCTGGGTGCCTCAGTTGGTTGAATGTCTGACTCTTGATCTCAGAGTGGTGAGTTCAAGCCCCACAATGGGCTTCACGCTGGGCTGGGAGCCTACTTAAAAAAAAAAAAAAAAGAAAAACAAAACAAAAGAAAACTGGGTCCCAGAAATTCGGGTTTAACTGTTTTAGTGTAGCAGGCCTATAATTTCTGAAAGCTTCTCAAGTGATTCTAATTAAAGTCAGGGTTAAGAATCACTGCTGGGGTGGGGGGATGGGCAAAATGGATGAAGGCGGGTGGGAGATACAGGCTTCCAGTTATGGAATGAATAAGTCATGGGAATAAAAGGTACATCATAGGGAATATAGTCAATGATAGTGTAATAATGTTGTATGGTGACAGATGGTAGATACACTTGTGGTGAGCACAACATAACACATAAACTTGTAGAATCACTGTTTTATACCTGAAACTAATGTAACACTGCGTATCAATTATTTTCAAGAATTTTTTTTTAAATCGTGAGATGTGAAGAATTTGATGAATTAGATTATACAGTCATGATTTAATCAAGTAGATGACATCAGGCCTCATTATGTCTTAAAATATTAGTTCCATTTCTTTCCTCTTTATAGCCCCACACTACATTTTGAACATTTAAAGTAATCGGTATGTATTTGCCAAATTAGTGAACATGGAGAAATAGGAACTCTCATACACTGTGTTAAAAATATATGTACTTCTGTTAAATGTATTTGTTTTAAAAATGTAAAAATGGTTCAGCCACTGTGGAAAAAACATTTGTTGGTTCCTCCAAACATTAAACATAGAATTACCATATGACCCAGAAGTTTACCCCTAAATATATACCTAAAGTAACTGCAAACAGGTACTCAAATATGTACATGTACATGCATGTTCATAATAGCATTGCTCAAAAAAATTAATGAAT